TGCAGTCATTAGACAAGCTTTGAATGAAAATTGGGTTAATATTACTGTTGGCAATAATCACAACACTCTTAGGTCTATCACATCTCTTGTCATAAATTGTTTTGTAAGACATCGGAAGTCCAGACACTTTGCCTTTCAATTCATACGGTTCTTGAGCTAAAATTATGTCCACTTTATTGTCGTATATATATTGGGTTAGAGTACTCATGGCATTGCGTTTTCTCTGGAGATTGATTTGTAAACACTTAATGCTGTTGTCTTTAAGCGGATCCATAGTTGGTTGAGTCGATAACTTTATCTCTCATGCGTTGATAGCACTTGCAGTCGCCGCTGAACACTGTATGATCTGTAGGGAACTGTTGTTTAACACCAGGTACCTTATTATGGCGATCACAGTTGACACACAATACTATCTCAGGAGTGGTGCAGTTCTTTGTGTCGTGAGTACCGGCACATTGACCACACGCAGGGCCAGGCCCTCCACTCTTAGCATCCCTGCAGTCACTAGCTTTGTGGCCATACCTGTGGCAACTGAAACACCGCATGACGTGAATGTATTCATTGACACGACACGAGTGCCAGCCAATGAACAACCTCTTGAGACCTTTGATCACCCAAAACAAATCGGGGGCCACTTCTAGAGTCCAGGTCTGGCCGTCATTATCGGCAGGTTTGCGAAACTTGAAACCCATTTGAAGCACAACATTGGGATCAAGCGATGGTTTGTTGTCGAAGAATGCCTTCACATCACGATTTTTGTTGATAATGTCGCGCATTATCTCTTCTTTGGTCATGTCTTTGTCGATGCCATTGAGGAACAAATGAAAACAATTGCCAATCAATTATCGGAAATGAGTGATCACCAGAAGAGTTCCTATGCCGGCGCTCTCAAGTCTGGCCAACCATTGCCACCAAAACCCAAGACTTCATCCAAACAGTTCCCATTAGTGGTGCGCCCAACGAGTGAAACAAAGTGGACATCAAAAGAGACAGAAGTGCGCCTCAAGACTATCACCAAATCGCACGACAAACCCATTCACGTCAAGGGTGTGAAGACCATCAGCTCTGGAGGAATAGTTATTGATTGTCTCTCTGATGCCGACCGCCAAGAGCTCATCAAATGTCTCAATACAAGTGATCAACAGATGACTGCCACCACACCAAAGATCAAACATCCAAAGCTTGTCATCCATGGCATCGACAAAGACATGACCAAAGAAGAGATAATGCGCGACATTATCAACAAAAATCGTGATGTGAAGGCATTCTTCGACAACAAACCATCGCTTGATCCCAATGTTGTGCTTCAAATGGGTTTCAAGTTTCGCAAACCTGCCGATAATGACGGCCAGACCTGGACTCTAGAAGTGGCCCCCGATTTGTTTTGGGTGATCAAAGGTCTCAAGAGGTTGTTCATTGGCTGGCACTCGTGTCGTGTCAATGAATACATTCACGTCATGCGGTGTTTCAGTTGCCACAGGTATGGCCACAAAGCTAGTGACTGCAGGGATGCTAAGAGTGGAGGGCCTGGCCCTGCGTGTGGTCAATGTGCCGGTACTCACGACACAAAGAACTGCACCACTCCTGAGATAGTATTGTGTGTCAACTGTGATCGCCATAATAAGGTACCTGGTGTTAAACAACAGTTCCCTACAGATCATACAGTGTTCAGCGGCGACTGCAAGTGCTATCAACGCATGAGAGATAAAGTTATCGACTCAACCAACTATGGATCCGCTTAAAGACAACAGCATTAAGTGTTTACAAATCAATCTCCAGAGAAAACGCAATGCCATGAGTACTCTAACCCAATATATATACGACAATAAAGTGGACATAATTTTAGCTCAAGAACCGTATGAATTGAAAGGCAAAGTGTCTGGACTTCCGATGTCTTACAAAACAATTTATGACAAGAGATGTGATAGACCTAAGAGTGTTGTGATTATTGCCAACAGTAATATTAACCCAATTTTCATTCAAAGCTTGTCTAATGACTGCATAACAGTAGTCTCAATTGAATGCAATAATACGACAATTATTCTGATCAGTGTTTATATGACCCCAAGCCTTTCGTTACAAGAGTTTGAAGTTTCGATTAATAATTTGCAACAAATTATTGATTCATTTAATAATAAACAAATAGTCATTTGTGGTGATTTTAACTCGCATTCAAAATTATGGTTTAGTGATACAAACGATGCAAAAGGCGAACATTTAGTTGACTTTATTTCAAATAATAATTTTGTTGTTTTAAATAATAATACATTTAAGCCTACGTTTGAAGCAAATACCGGCGCCAAGTCTTCAATAGACATTACATTTTGTAATCTGAAGGCAAATAATTTGATTAACAGTTGGGAAGTGTTAGATGAAAACTCTAACTCAGACCACAAGTACATATCATTCAGTTTAGGTAGTTATGCCGACACAGTGTTATACAAATCTACCATCAAATACAGGACATGTTATGCCAATTGGGATGCGATTCGCGAGCAATATTTGGAAATTAAAAATGATATTTTAATAAATATCTGTGATATTAATAGTCAACAAAAACTCAATGATTTTGTATGTGATTTCATGACAGATATCATACAATTATGTGATAAAAATATACCAAAAGCCAAACACAATACTTGTTTTAAAGGGAATAATTGGTGGACTCCAGAGCTATGCCAACACAGAAGTTGTGTCAATACTGCGAGGCGTCGATACCAGCGATGTTTGACAAATGAAAGACAACAGCATTTCGAAGACTATCTCCAGAAGAATGCCATTTATAACAAACTGATTGACAAAACAAAACGCGAAAAATGGGATCAGTTTGTGAGTGATAGCACCCGTGGAAACCCTTGGGGTATTGTATATAAGATAAGTCGCGACAAAATTAATCAACAATTTGCTTATGAGTTAAAAGACAACAATAATCGCCTTATAATAGAAGCTCAAGAAGTTGCCGAACATCTTATGACAAATCTATTTCCTGAGGATAGACCACAAGAAGATAGTGATCTCCACAAAGAAGTCAGACTTTTATCGGAACACACACAAAACACATCAAATGACATACCATTTACAATATTAGAAGTTACTGAAGTTATTAACGCACAACATCACAAGAAAGCCCCGGGAGTTGACGGCATTACCGCTGATATAATAAGATTTTTGCACAATATTGATGCCAATGTGTTCACGAATTTGTATAATAAATGTCTTGAAATTGAATGCTTTCCCGACATTTGGAAGCAAAGTGTGGTAAAAGTGATACCGAAACCTAACAAAACAGATTATACAGTCAGTGATGCCTATCGTCCCATCAGTCTATTACCAGTTTTTGGGAAAATTTATGAAAAACTTTTGATAAACAGAATAACATATCATTTGAGAACTACTGGTGCCATAAATGAGAGACAATATGGGTTTACTGCCCAGAAGTCTACCGAACAGGCCTTACATTCAATCGTCGATTTCATTCAAAATGGATTCAAAAGCAAAGGCTTTTCACTCGTCATATCCCTTGACATCTCCGGTGCCTTCAACTACTGTTGGTTTCCTAAGATATTAAGTCAACTGAAGATCAAAAATTGTCCCAAAAATCTATTTTATTCAATGAAATCCTATTTCACGGAAAGGAAGGCAGAAATCTGGTACTTAAATAAGACATACAAACGAGATCTGACTGTTGGCTGTCCTCAGGGAAGTTCCTGTGGACCTGGTTTATGGAATATAAGTTTCGATGATATCATGGATTTGTCGGATAATAAAGATGTAATCATCGAGTGCTTCGCCGACGACACCATAATAAAGATATTTGCAGATAATATACCAGAATTGGAGTCAAAAGCAAACGATATTTTAATTAAAGTCGAGAAATATGGCGTAAATAATAAACTTATTTTCAATGTCAACAAAACACAGGCAGTGCTATTCACCCGTCGCTTAAAATATAATCCACCGGTGCTTTCATTTTTTGGCAATACGATTGCTCTCAAGAATGAATTCAAACACTTGGGACTCATTATTGATTCAAAACTCAGTTGGAGATCACATTCAAATTATATCGAGCATAGAGTGACACAAATCGCCAATAATTTACTGAGATTTGCCAAAAATAAATTTGGATTAAATCAAAATGCCATTAAAATTATATATACCGGAGCTATACTACCGATTATTAGCTATGCAGTGTCTGTATGGGCGCCGGCTATCGACCGCAAGTTTGTGATAAACCCTTTGAACACAATTCAGAGGAGGTTTGCCTTAAGGATCTCAAAAGCCTACAGAACTGTGTCGACAAACGCTGCGAATATTATCTCAGGTCTAATGCCAATAGATCTCTACTTGAAAGGGAAAGCCGTTCAATACTTTGCAAACAATCATATTGTGTGTGATTTGACAGACTTTTACTTTGAAGGAACCAGTATTACAGTCCATGACATTCAGACAAGAATAGACGTCAGACAACTACCACACTATGGATTGAAAAAACCATTGAATTCATTGCAAACACTCTCTGACACGGAATCCTATTATAATGTGTATATCGATGGGCGGTCTTCTGACCGCAACACCGGCTCTGCATTTGTGATAAACCACTCAAACCTCACGATTACCACCAAAAAGATAAAAATGTCTAAATATTGCACTGGATTTCAAGCAAAACTTTTGGCTATTAAAAGAGCATTGGAATGGCTCAAGACATGCAACCGACAGAAACACCACATAATTGTCAACATTTGCGATAAATCTGTCTTCAGAGCACTTCAAGACTATAACTCAACCAATCGTTTAATTCATAACATCTATAAATTATTTTATGAATTGATGTCTAATAGCATTGATGTGTTTATAAATGAAGTCGATTTCAGGTCTGAAATACAACTTAAAACAAGAGATTTAGCGAAAGCAGCAATTGATTCACACAATTGTATTGAATATAATTTGATACCAAAATCAGTGCTAAAGCACACCATCCGTGAGAAGAATATCGATATATGGAGTGAACGGTGGGCTCAATCGACGACTGGCTCTCAAACAAAACACTACTTCCCGACAGTGAGGGACAGAATTGCCGCCAAATCCTATACACCGGACTATCACACGACCCAAATGGTTACAAATCACGGGGAGTTCGCCTCATATCTTAAACGCTTCCGTATTAGGGAAGGGGAAGAGTGCGAGTGTGGACAGGGATCTGATACAGCAGACCATCGTTTATATGATTGCATCCGATATGATAACCAGCGAAACGAATTAATTGATGCGATTGAAAAGGAAGGACACTCGTGGCCTGTGAACCACAACATCTTAATCAACAAATATTATAATTATTTTCATAAATTTTGTAATTTAATACTTAATTAGTGATTAACTCTTGTTTTATAATATATTTTACATTTATACTGTATTCAAAACCTTGATATTTTAGCTAAAATTTATACTGTATGCCCTTATTATACTTTGTGGTATAAGGGCCACAAACATCAAAAAATAAACCAGAATTTCATTCAACCTAACCTAACCTAACCTAACCTAACCTAACCTAACCTAACCTAACCTAACCTAAAACAACAACTTTTCAATCAATCAATTTCATGTGCAATCAATCTTTTGTTTATTTGAATTGAAATTACATTTTACCGGTATATTTAAAATTATTATAGAATTTTTGAATTATTTGTCAATATTTATTGAATCCGTAAATTAAATAATTTGAAAATAAATTACACAAAAATTATCAGTAATTTAGTCATTTGTTTGACAATTACACGAATAGGTGTTGAATGAAACCCTAAATATAGTTAAACTGAGTGTTGAGTGACACAGTGTTTACCAAATGTTTGTTTAATTGTCTAAAAAACGGTTTAAACCAAACGCACACAAAGACATATTATATGTTATATGAAAATGTTGTCCAAAAGGGAAGCGACGAAAGCATTCACTCGTCCGTATCGTCCGAGTCTTCCTCGTCAGAGACGTATCGTTTGGTCTGTCGCGCCATTCGGGGTTTGTTTCGAGAACTGGTCGACGGTTCCGATGATCGACTCGACGATGACTTTGCCTTCATTTTGATCTTCATTTTCATGTTCGAGTCCTCGTCGTCCTCCTCGTCTTCGGCCTCCTCCTCGCCCTTCAAACACCAAATCAATACAATTGTGATCAACAATCAATTTCATGGAGTTATACAATGAGTGCATTCATTGCATTCAATGACAACAAACCTCTTCCTCGTCGTCGTTGTTGTTGTCCTCCTCGGCAAAGGACTCGTCGTTCTTCTCGAAGTTCTCGCGGGCTTTGGTGAAGACGGACTGCAACATAATGGAGTCCTCATAGATGAGCGATCCCTCCACGTTATAGGTCTGCGCGTTGCGGCACAACTGCATGAAGTCCTCCTGCAAGTCGTCTAAACACCTGTATCTGTGACTCGAGATCCGACTCTTTATCTTCTTAATGTCGACCGGCTTTCGGATCACATCGTAATAGTCGGGCAGTTCTTTACGAGACGGCAATTCGAGGAACGCCTCCGAAAGCACTCTATCGTCCGAATCGACATAATTGATGACAAAACTCAACAGTTTCTTCATTTTGGCCAACAGTTTGGGCGGATTCGGGGGGTGTTTCTCGAGCGTAGGTCTGCCTCTCTTCTTCTTGGTGGCCGGCGTGGGCTTCTCGTCGTCGTCGTCATAGTCTAAGCCCTTCCTCTTCTTGCCCTTCCCTTTGCCCCCTCTCTGCCGTTTCGTCGGTCGGGTGCTCGTCTCGAGTTCGTCCAGATTTCCGTCTTCAATGGCTTTAAGCCATTGCTTTTCAGTGAGAGAGTCGCTGTAATCCACTTCCTTTCGCTGTCGAGACCCGCGACCAAACAGTTTGTCCTCTTCCTCCTCATTGGTCAGCCGCTCCACCTCTGCGTCGTCTTTGATGAGCCAACCCGGGAGTTCGTCCTCTTCCATGAGTCTCGGCCTCCGCTTTATACTCCGCGCCTCATCTCTGCGGCGGTCGATATCCATCTTCTGGAAGAGCTCGAACTCCTCTTCGCTTCGGGCAATCATCTGATTGATGGTCTCGTCGTCGGGAACTTCATTCTCGTCCTCCTCCTCGTCCTGATCGTCGTTCTGAAGGATTGCCTACACATTGACAACAACACAACAAATGAGTTACTGTTGGATGTGATGGACGAGTGAGTGAATGCATGGATGAGTGCATACCTGGAGGAACTGTTTGCGTTCATTTCCGGTTGACTTCTGGTCGAACATTCCCGCCTGAATCACCTTCTCATCCAAATTGAGCTTATATTTAGCGGCCGCCAGAATGCGTTCCTCGACTGAGTTGACGGTCACTAATCGCAAAACTCTCACTTCATTCTTCTGACCGATTCTGTGGGCCCTGTCCTGCGCCTGAAGGTCTTGGTGTGGGTTCCAGTCCGAGTCAAATATGACGACAGTGTCCGCCGCCTGTAGATTGAGTCCCAAACCTCCGGCACGAGTGGACAACAGAAATATGAAATAATTGGATCCCTTTTCGTTGAAGAGCTCGAGTAGTTGTCCCCTGTCTTCGGCTTTAGTGGTGCCGTCGAGTCGCAGGTAAGTGAAGCCCCGGTAGTTGAAGTAGTCTTCGAGTATAGTCATGGCTGTTGTCATTTGACAGAACAGCAGAACCCTATGACTCGTTTGCTTCAGTTTTGGCAAAATGCGGTCCAAGAGCTCGAATTTGCCGGATGCGCGGTACAGGTCGGGTCCGCTCACTATTTTGTCCGCTTGACCCAAATGGTCGGCAAACGCCTCTTCAATTTGTTGGAACATAAAGGGATGGTTACAGATCTTCCTCAACTGCATAATCGAGTTCATCAGAGTTCTCGTTCCGCCCTTTCCTTTCTTATCCTTTTCCGAGCCGTCGGTCAACAGAACGCCTAAAACAGAGACAAACGTCATATTTAATGAACACTCATAGCATACCATTGACCGTATGGTAGCATACCTTTGCTCTGCATGTGTCTGTAGAGTAGGCGCTGCAGTGCAGACATGTCACACTTGACGCAATACTCCACTTTGTCGGGCAGTTGACTCTCCACCTCCTTCTTGAGTCGTCTCAGGAGGAAAGGTCTCAACACTTTATGCAATCGTCTGATTATAAGAATAGTCTCCTCTTCGTTGAGCTCAACCTTTTCGCCGGTCGTAGCGAACGGCGCGTTAAACCACTGCTCAAAAGTATTACAGCATTTGAATATTGAGGGCAACAGGAAGTTGAGAAGAGCCCAGAGTTCGGGCAGTTTGTTCTGCAGGGGAGTGCCCGTCAGGAGGAGTCGATGCGGTGCCGAGTAGTGAGTGTTGAGGATTTGGGTGAGTTTGCAGTGATGGTTCTTCATGCGGTGCCCCTCGTCTATGATCATGTATTTCCACCGAAGTTTTGCCAGAATTGCCTTATCTTTGATTACGTACTCATATGTAGTCAACAATACATTGAATTTCGATGACTTCAGATTCGTTGATATTATTCGCCGAACATTTGGAGAGCCTTTCCATAGGAAGAGAAGGACACAAACAATGAGTGGTGTGTATGACATGTACTGTACGGCTATTGCTGTGATACCTACCCTTATAGGGCACTTTGATGACAGAGGGGGCCCAGCGGTCAAACTCGAGCATCCAGTTGGACATCGTGGACAAGGGCACGATTATGAGGTACGGCCCGTTGTTGCGCTTGTGCTCTATGAGGTGAGTGATGAGAGCGATCGTCTGTATGGTCTTTCCTAAGCCCATCTCATCGGCCAAAATGCCGTTCAGATTGTTGTTATACAGAGAGACCAACCATTCGAGACCTTTGATCTGATAGGCCTTAAGGTTGCCGTTAGTCATGAGCCCGGGTTGGTCTGTGATCTGCTCTCGGATTCCATGAGCGATGTTATAGTAGTTAACATTGTCTGCGATGTCTTTGCTATACTCGTCGTCTTCGGCAGAGGCCGTCATTCCGGGCTTAATGTCTGGACTCCTGAGCTGCTGTGCGATAGCGTTCGATATGAGTTCCGCTCTCTCCTCGTCATCACTGGCCTCGTAGTCCTCCTCCTCTTCATACTCCTCATAGTCGTCGTCGTCATCGCGCGGCGCCTCCACATACCCGGGATGTACGTCCAGCCATGCCTTGAGCTGAGAGGCCACGGGTGCGTCTTTGCCAGAGATGACGTTCCCCTCGGCGTCCATCACATTCACGTGGATATCCGAGTGTTGCGATGACTCATCCAAAAGACCTGTTATTACAACATAATTGTCATTAAAGCACTCGAGTGTGCAATCAGTGCAATACGTCTACCTTCAGAAAGGGATGAGCTGTTGGGGTCAGCCGTCGAATTGGCATCAGTTTTGTTGGCCTCTTCGGGCGTCTTCTTCTTCCTCTTCACCTTTCGTTTCTGTCTCTTTTTCCTCTTCTGCTCGTCCTTATGCTGTCTAACCATATCCGTCAAGTTCTTAATGTATTCGTCCGTCTGAGACAAGAGGAATGCCAGTCGCTTATCCTTCTTCTGATCGATGAGCTTCCGGTAGCCCTCCTCGTCTTCAGCCATGAGGCGCCGCATCCTCTCCTTCTCAACCCTCTCCTGTTCCTTCTTCTGCTCCCTCTCAGTGTTGGCGTGATATACGGCCACAGCTTTGTTCACTTTGGAGACCTTGAGCAGAGTGTTGCGGTGGTAGTCCTTGAAGTCCTTGGCGTGTTGTAGCACTGCGTTCAGGTATTCCTGATGTTTCTGTCGCCGCTTCCTCTCCTGCTCTATCTTCTGCTGTTTCTCCAACTTCTCTGTGATTCGCGCCTCACGTAAACCAATCCGTTTCGTCCGTTTGTAGAGCTTTGGATTCAAACCCGTCTCCAGAGTGGTGTCTCTTCTCATACATGCGACCTATCAGACAGACATGACATGACATATACACTTGCAATCAGAATATACAGCAATAATGTTGAGCCATTAGTTACCACGTCTTGTCGCAACTGCTTCTGGAAGTTCAAGAGCCTAAGGGCTCGCAATTCAATCATAGCTTTGGTGCGGAGGTCTTCGGGCAGATTCGCCGGCAGACTCGACAACTCAGTGATGCGATGGGCGATGCGCTGGGAGATGCGGTTCTCGCGCTCCTTCAGGATCTCTATGGGGTCGATGCCCTGCGGTTTGGCCACTGGAGTCACGCGGTTCTGCTTCTGTTGCTGCAACTGAGCCATCATTCCCTGGTAGGCATTCATCTGTTGCTGAGACATCGACGCACCACCACTCGCCTCAATGGGGCCCATAGCAGGCATTGGTGTGCCATTCATTGATGTCGGCGCTACGGCCCCACCAATGGCTTGAGTCGACGGAGGAGGCATTGGAGGCATAGGACTCTTGTTAGGCCCTGAGCTCTGTATTGCCATTTGGCTGACATTATTGGGCCCCATATTAGGTGGCGGTTGTGTTGATGCCATTTGGTTGGACTGAGTCATCAGCGGTGGAGGTGTTTGTGATGGCATTTGCGATGACATGTGCGCACCCATAGTCTGCAGTGGTTGTGGTGCCGGCGCTCCGACAGACGGAGCATTGGGCGGACCCATCGACGGTCTAATCATGGGTTGTGAGGGATCTGTTGACAACACGAGTAACAATTCGTTAGCATTCATCTCACATGTCCGACAGACAGACCTGTTTGTGGTCTCCACTGTTGCGGTGGGACCTGTTGGTGAGGGGGCGGTGGAGGGGGCGGCCCCATGGGTTGCGGTGATGGGGGTGCCATCTGTGGTGCCATTTGCTGGTTGGGCGGTACGGGCGACGGTGTGAGTCGTTTGCCTTGAATGGCTTGAGTGATGTGGTCAGGGATGGGTTGGTTGCGGGCCAGTAGTCTGTAAGCCATGATCTGATACCGCAATTGATTCACTTGTGGTCCGTTAAGTTTGCTCTCATTCTGCGGGAACTGTTGGGCGCCGGCACTCATGTAATCGCCATTCAAAGGGGGCATCGATTGCATCGTTTGCATGGATTGCGGCGATTGAGGCGGTGCTGGCGGTAGGAGTGGTGGCTGTTGTTGTTGTTGCTGTTGCTGTTGGGCAGAGGGGGGCAGAGGTGGCGGTGCGTTGTTGGGTGCGGTGGGCGGACCCATGTTGGGGGGCATTGGGTGCGAGTACTGCGACTGTGAGGGCGTCCCATAATTCATCATCAGTTGGTTGATGGGAGGCATGGCGGGGCCCGACCCCACCCCTTGTGGCGGCGGAGGTGTGCCGTAGGGCACGGGAGGGGTCGACATCTTGTTGACCAACACTGGAACCGATTCTTTGTGTCGTTTGCACTGATAATTGACTTATTGTTTGACAATCACTACAAATGGCGATACAATGCATACAAAGCACTCACAGCTATAGCGCACATCAATTACGTTCACCTCATGTACTCTACCGTACAGTATATACGTTGGTATTAAAAGTTTCACAAACTTTCCAATTTACTAGTTTGATCAAGTTCATTTGAACATTATCAACACAATCTCTAATTCACCCTGCACCTTACCTTTTACTAAATTGCAAACAGTGCCTAATTATGAAATGAGTTTAAGACTTTTGCATGTCATATACTCAGATTAACATAAGTATATTATGTAACACACATCTACTTTATTTGATTATATAATTGAGTATACAATACACTGTATTATACAAATCTGATATACTGTAGTAATAATGTATAGAGCCGTTGATGTATCATATAATCATACTGTAATCCTTGTCTACCGATCACCTCATGGACTCTTTGCTTAACTCAATGCAACTAATTATTGTTACTGACAAGTGAGTTAATAAGGTATACGCGTAGTATTGTAATAATGGTGTGAATAACAATCATACAGCAATGTACAGCAAACATAGACATGATAGGATATACCTATTAGGTAGACTACACTGTGGGGCATAGAATCTATGCCATAGAGTATGCAAACCGGTCGGATATGTTTCACAAATGTTGTACAATCTGCTGAAGCAATATCATCATATCATCAACACTTGATTCACATTCATTAAGACATACCACAGCTCTCTCAATACACCACTTGAAAGCCATTCAATATTATGTAATATCATGTAATGTCTAGTGATTGATGTAATTGTTTTCAATATATTTATTATATATCTCATCTAAAATCCAATGATTGAGTGCACAATGGATACAATTTTACTGGCGTTGCAGCGAATTGTCTTCATTACGTGGACAGCCATCAAGACATACCTCAATGGACCCTATTATTCATACATTGAACTCAATCGCAACTATGGCTTCTTTGGTAATATGCCTTGTTCAAACCAATTTACTACTACTACACTCAACTTGCTCATTCTATCTCATTTAAGCAAATCTTAATTACTGTATAAATGAATGTACCGTACTTTTTACTGTACCAAATTAAATAGTTTTTGTTGTCAGTACTGTATTGAATCATATGATAACACCTGACTCGTGAGTAAGGTGATCTAGAATATATCTGGAAAAGTAGTTTATAATAATTATTAAAGCAACTCAAATACTTTGATTGTGAATTGTGATTTTAAGGTTATTTATTCTTATAATTAATGAAAATAATTTTCTGTTAAATCAGTTTATAACTGTAATATAAACTCGCTAACATTGACAAACTTGTAAGTCTATTAACCTTAAAGTTGTTATTGCAATCTTATAAGAACTACCGTATTCGTAGTGTATATCAACATAAACTAACGGTGCAATGTGACCTTAACAGTTGTTTGAAACTTTTTGTTTAGTTGTGAACTGGTTTGGTAATGAGCAATGCAAATAGTATACTTGCGCTTATAATCTCAAAAATGTTTCTTAATTACGATACATAATTTATAATACATCAAAGTTTTTAATACTGTATGTATTAAATTAATAATTCATTACTATTAATATAACGTGATTGTATGGTAGATTAACATAAACATGGTACAAATAAAGAATCTTGCAATTTGCCCAAAATTGTAGTATACAGAGTTTATGATAGCCTACGAGTTAGTGTTTAATTTGTATCATTATGAGTCAATGTTAATGATTTAAATATACATTTATATTTTGAGGTAAATTATCATCACTTGTTAGGTATTAATGATTTAAAACTGATTTATCATGAAATCAGGAAAAATACGGAAATTGAATGTAGAAGACGTAGACATTCCGTCATCACTGGAGGGAAAGGTATGCATAATCACAGGCGGAAGTCGGGGAATAGGTATGGAAGTGGTGAAGACGTTGTTGAGAAAGGGATGTCATGTCATTACCGGGTCGTCAGCCAGTGATGAAGAGATTCAAAGAAGGCGTAACTCAATAGTGGATCAGTTGGGCGACACAATGAGGGGACGGCTGGATATGTGGCCATTAGAGCTCTCGTCAATGGACTCTGTCTTGCAATTCGTGCGTATATTCAAAGACTCGTCGCTTAAACTCCATTATCTCATTTGCAACGGCGCTGTCATGTTTGCACCTTTTGGTCTCACTTCAGATGGCTTTGAGACCCACTTAGCCATCAATTACTTCAGTCATTGTCTTCTTATCTCTCATTTGATCGACAATTTGGTGACATCTGGACGAGAATGCGGTCATAAGTCGCGAATCGTGTGCGTGTCGTCTGGCGCTCACCGGCCGGCGAGTGTGCGCTTCAATGACCTGCAGTCGGAGCGCCTGTACTCCACATACCACGCGTACGCTCAGTCAAAGTTGGCTCAAATCATGTTTGTCTATAAGTTTCATGAATGGCTTCTAAGCCGACACGATATGGTGGGCGCTGTGACCATCACTTGTCTGCATCCGGGTGTCTGTCGCACAGACCTTATGAAAGAATTCAATTTCTTTAACCTAAGACCCATTCAAGCGTTGCCCATATTTCGAGTAAATCTTTCAATTAATACTTACAATATATACGATAATTACAATATATAATTACAATATACAATAATATACAATAATACTATCAATTCATGTCATGTAGTAATGAACAAATTTATTGATTAGTCGGCAGAAGAAGGCGCTGAGACAACACTATACGCCACCCTATCGTCTGAAGTGGAGGGCATAAGTGGTGTATACCTCGAGGACTGTTGTGTCACTAAATCAAGTAAACGATCGTATGATAAGAAAACACAGGAATTGTTGTGGAATAACACTTGGCATCTGTTGCACAAATGGACACCTAATTTGTGCTTCCGATTGACACCTGAATCCGATAAAGTGCACGATCTATGATCCCAACCTCACTCCTACTCCCACTCCTACTCCCACTCCTACACACATTTACATTCATTTGAATTCACTTCAAACCAATTTGATTTGCATTTCAATTCTTGATTGGGTATTTTGTTTCATTAATATAATATTACATTCAATACAAATGTTATTTTTTCATTTTATTTATATACTGTATATACCTGTCTCATTCTATTTATTAAATTCTAATAAATCCAATACCCTTATTATAAACTATACAGTATAGTATATTTATAGTATATTGATAGATTATCATTAATAAATAGTTAAATAGTACTATAAAATCTACCATAGGATTTTAATTATTAAATTATATTACCATATAATAACTTACTAAAAGATTTAAAACAACTTACTGTACACTATTTGTCGGTTCTTATAATAAAACATAAAAGTTGCTTTCAATGCTTTACAGTTTATTTCCCAATTAATCATTGAAATTCAATGATTGAATGGTAATTGAGGTGGGTCGTTTCGTTAGTGCGTAATAAGCACTATAATTTAAAAGCAATTTAAAACCACTCATATAAAATTAGCTTTTGATCAAACTCAGTTTTAGATTTTATATTTTAAAAATATTGCCTTATAAGAAATTGTTTGAATAATTATTTTATCATAAACTGTTTTTTCACAATATAATTTTTTGTTTAATATTTGAATATCGTTTTTTGAACTGAGAATCCTATCTACACTACTAATGTATAACATATTCCTTATTACTTTCTTTAGTTGACTTTCACTAATCGTATTTATAATCTTACTGCAATTAACTGCAATTATGGTATAATCAATTTTAAAATAAAGACTGGATACAATATTATTTCATCATTTATTTATTTTCATTACAAATTGAAATGTTTAAAGTTATTTGTTTTTAAAATTATACTTTGCCATAGACTATTAATATAAATGAAAATTAATTTTAATATCTAATAATTATTGTTTAAATAATGAATTTTTTTAATTGATAAATATTCTGGAATCTAGATATTACATGCATGTAAGATAAATGAACAGTTAATTGTGTGTTTGTTATACAATCATCAAGTAGAGTGTATTAATATGCTGTACGGTACTATACAACAATACAGAGTGAGTATGCAGTCCAGTCCAGTACGGGTCAGATTACATTTACCACCAGTAGTTATAGAGGAATCTCCAGCTGTCCATCACTTGTTGGGCTCTCTCCTCAATATAGAGACGACTAATATTTGAAAAATACATCAAATTATAAGATTTTGCCATTTCGTGCACTTCTATAACACTTAGAAATTTGTGCTTCTTTTCGGTCGAGTCGTCTCCTATTTTATAATTGATTTCTTCAGTTATCAATTCAGACGAATTCTCTTTCAATTTAGTCATCAATTTATTTGAGATTATAATTTCTGTGTCAAGAAATTGATATTTGTTTGCTATAACTATTGCTTCAAATATCTCTTCAAATGATAATTGGTTCCACTCTTTCTCACTGATGACGAGTCCATAAGATATTTTCAAAATCAATTCAAATGGTTTGACAAGTGTTTCGTCGAGTTTTATCTCGTTTTGATTGCTTTCAATCATTCCGATCGAAAACATGGCTTTGAAGTATTCACTCGATCTCATTAATACTAACTTATGACCTGGTCATTTAGTCATTTGGTCATTTGGTCATTCACCACCACATCCCCACAATACGCCATACCGTATCACATAAACATACAAGTACATACATTATATTAAACATATAAACAATTCTAATAGTTAATATAAATACCGTATTACTTAATATCAATATATCATAGTATTGACATACAGTACTGTATAGCATATTGCTTTCATTTATCTTACTACTGTATTTAATATTTATAATAATATGATATAATAATTTTGTAATACTGTAATAGTATTTTTATTTTATTGTGAGAACTGATAAAGCAAACAGTAATATGAAAACAGAGTTAAAATTTAAAATGTGGGTTTTGCTTAATACCTTAGAATATATTTGTTATTTATAAATAATTTACCAATTACAATAACTTGTAATTGTATTTGTTTTTGTCACTTATTAATTTTTAATTATCACTAAATTTAAATGTGTGTGTGTGTGTGTGTGTGAGTGAGAGAGAGAGAGAGAGAGAGAGAGAGAGAGGAGGGAGAGAGAGAGAGAGAAGTTTACCTGGTATTGTATGGTTTCCAATGATTATATTAATATCAGCCGAATCTTCATTTAAATAATGGAGACAAATGTCTGTCATATTTTCATCCATTTCCACACTCAAAGTTAATTATAATGAAGAAATAATGGTTTTAAAAATAATTTCAATCATTTCCTCATTGAAAAGGTGTTCACTGTAAATACTAAAAATTCAATGATAACGGTTACATTAAAATTAACAAATAAAACATTTCTGATGTTTTGTCTAATCCCAATGAAGATAATAAACTTGTTAGTTATTTAATGCAATATTTAAAAGCTGGTTCTCCTTCTAAATAACTTAAATCAAATTTATTAAATGTTAAAAGTATATAAACCTTGAGAACTATAAATATTGAATATAAGTTATCCTTGTATTCTGCACAAAGCTAATACACTAATGATTATTTTTAAATCTAATTATAAATTTTCAATTATATCTATGGAAGCAATACGAAAAAACATTCAACTCTGCTTTTATATGAATCTTTATTATTGTGTAACATTATCATAATTACAGGCATACTGTATGAAAATAATATTAAAAAGATAAACAGAAAAAAGTGAAGACAAGAGTGAAAGGGATTGAGGGCAAATTCTTAATTTATCGAAAATATTTATAAATGCTTTAAAATAAATTTTTATTGTAGTTACTATTAAATTTAAACTCATCATAATGATTTATTGTTTGTTTACACAAAATATTCTATTGTAATTGTAATTGTAATTTCTATAGAATTTCAATCATTTATTACGATTAGGACGTTTAATAAATAGTTCAAAATAATTAAATATAATTAAATACAAATAATTTATTGAAACCAATTAATCAAATGTTGATAACTTGTGAATTAAATGCTACTTTAGATTCAACTGACTTTATCTCTTCAATTGATTTTTCTAATTCTTTTGGCACTTCTTTGGTCGAAATCTTCTCGTTAAACAAATTTTTCATTTGGTCCGTATTTTTATGAGCATCTGTTGTCTCTTCTTTGTTGTTTTCTTTCTTTTCAAAGTTGTCGTCCAATTGAGTCTTTTTTTGCTCCTCAATTGGTTTCTCTATTTCTTTGATTTCCTCTTTGTGTTCATTCTTTTGTTGTAAAGATATCTTCGTTTGTTCGCTTTGTTTGAGTATTTCTTTTGTTTCAACATTTGCTTCATTTTTATGCACTAAATTCTGATCCCATGTAATCTTCTTTTGCCCATCAATTTGTTTGTCCTCTTCTTTTGCCTTTTCTTTGTGTGTATTTTTCACATCTAATTGTATCTTCTCGTCTGTCACTTGTTTTTGAATTTCCTTTGCAAGTTCGTTGTGACCACTCTTTTGAACCGATGGCTCAAACGATTGAGTCTTCTTTAACTCTTCAATCGTTTTCTCTGATACTTTTGGTTCCTCTTTGTGGGTATTTCTTCGGATCAAATTTTGGTCGATTGGAGTACTTTTTAATTCACTAGTTGCCTGATCATCTCTGGCGACAGATCCTGAATGGCTTTGAGGTATGGATTGTTCATGTTTAATGGCAATCATGTCGATTTTGTTTTGTTTTGGATCAGATTTCTTGTTTTCAGATACAGAATGTTCGTCCACTGCCTCCACCGCCTCCACTGCCAACACTTTATGTGCTCCCAATTTAGGTGCCTGTTGTTGACTGGGACTCGAGTTTTCCGACACAATCACCGCATCCTCTCCTGACTTATCATCACTACTGATCACAGGTCTGGCAATATTTGGAGCCGCTATTCAACATTAAATCAAATTCTGTAGTTTTTAACAACACTCAAACAATTCCCTTTTCATTATTATTATTTTAAAATTATTTAAGCATAAAGAAAATTATTTATTTTAAATTTAAAAAATTCTTACCATAAATTAATTGAATAATTAATAAAAGCAGAAAAGTTAAAAACACTTTCATTTTGAATTATTTTAATATTCTTAAAAGGTTGAATAGATTGAATAAAAAACACAAATATAATTTATTGAATGAATACTAATATAGTATAGAAATATATATATATATATATTGCTCTCTTTCTCTCTCTTTTTAAATGATGTACTGAAGAGTGAAAGTGAGTGAGAGATCAGAGACCAGAGTAATAACACCAAAGAGTTGGATCACTCTTTTAAATACTGTCGACTCTAAGGAACAAACTTTCTTTTTGTTGGTAATGCATATAAATGGCATTAAACTTGAAATTTAAACTGGATTTATAAGAAGCAAACTTGAATGAGATTCCACACGAGAACCGGTGGATGTGATGGACATCTCAAAGATTATCTTCATGTCTGCTAAACACAAAACAAGAGACAGAACTGGAATTAGTGTAAACTTTGTAAGAACAAGGTTTCATAATAGTTGTGTTCACTCTACTCAGTCCACGATGCCCTCAGTATTCAAATGAATTGCCTGAGTATTCAATACAAATTTAATACTTTTTAAATGTACAAATTTAACTAGCGTACATCATTACTGTACTTTAAAATAAAATTAAAATTGAATAAAAAAAATTGAGGCTTTTCAGATTCAGCTTCTAAGATAGAAACAACTCTGTATTTTTTTGTAAATTATTATTTCATATGTAAGATATAACAAAATATAAATTTTATCCAAAAATGTATTCTTAAAAAACTATAATAACTTAATTATTAAATATACAGTATATTGAATTTTAATACAGTATACACATTTTAATTTGTATATTTTACTGGGAGGTTTATTGCAAATCTAAATACTAAAGTATTTCTGTAAAAGTTTTTAATTCTGAGCAATCAAGTTTATTCAACTTCTTTTGGTCTTAAAGGAATATTTAATTAAGTCTTATTTTTTTGCTATTAGTTTCAATGTCGTAAATCACGATTTTCTGTGACTGACCCAACACTTACACTTTAAAGTTCATTGAGCCCAATGTCTCAATACAACTATATTATTCTTGTCAATCTCTCTCTCTCTCTCTCTCTCTCCCTCCCTCCCTCACACACACACACATCTATAATACTAAAATTACTATACATCTATAATATATAATAAACAATTAATAGATAATATTATATGTATAAATCATAACCAGACAGGCGTTAGAGTTTGGTCAACTTATTAGTAATATCAATTATACCTTCATGGAAAATAGCGCATGAATCAATTTTTATTTAAAACCACTAACTCTAACTCTGTTTATGATTTATATTATATTATATTAAACATAAAGATGCATTGTGCTGTATTTTATAAAAATTCTTTAAAGAATCTTATTTTTATAGAACTTTTATATATAAGATAATAAATAGAATACAGTATTAATGTAATATACAGTACAGTACAGTATTGTACAATTATTAATAATAAATTAATAACAAATAATTTGTTTATAGTATAATAATATACAATATATTAGTATAGTACTGTATAATATTTATATATAATATTTATGTATCTTTGTTTATAATACAATTATTATTTATATAGAAAAAGTCACATACATGTATAATAATAAATTATTAATCCTGTAATTGTTTAATAAATTGCAGAATTTGTGGTAAATTTATTTGTTACTATTATATTTACAAATGTATCACAAATAGAGTAAAATTCTAATACATATTCTAAGACATTTTGTAATATTATGTCTCATGTTTCTAACTCTTTTAATTGAGTAGTACTGTTTGTGCTAGATCATATTATCATATTCATCTTGAGTTATAATATTTTCCCCAAGGTTTTCTAGCTCTATGTACTGTATTAATGCTCAGGCTCTGTGTTTTCAAATACCATATATGATTAAATAATTTAACTATGATAATAACTTATTATTAATAAGTCTACAAAACTTCACTTTTCTGTTTTATATTTATTATTAATACTGTACCAGCTTCAAGTATTTATTTTATAAATGTATTGGATGCAATGTTATGCAATTAGTTTTCTCAAATATTAGATGACATACAGAAGTTTAATTTGCCAAAATTTGATATTTTCTTTGCTAATTATTGTTACAATAATTTATTATCCAAATACTTAACTTTAATAGAGTATCATATAATTACAGTATACTGTAATAATGTGTAATGTTAGGCTACTGGTAGTATTATGATACTGTACTGTATGTACAATTTGTACAGTATTATACAAATATGCGTTTAGAGGGCAGGATCAATATAGGAAACGTGAACATTTGATATGTGCGCGCATTTGACGCAAATTGACCAATTGATGAGACAAATAAGTGTCATATTAATAAATTGCGGACAACTGTAATGTCCAATTGGTATCATGTATTCATATGATTAACATTTGCATAGAAATGACAGTTTGTTTGTATTGATGGTAACCCTATGGTCTAACTGTAGCAGTAATGTGCAGTAAATGACAATTTGTTTGCATATATGCAGTGATGTACTCATAGGAGCACTCGATGGCACAGGTATGACAGGTATGGCCATTGAATGATATAATGCCATAAGACATAAGACGGTCGTAATGAAGACATGGAAGACGCAGATGTGGTGCGAAAGAGTGGTCGTGAAGGCCATCCTCACCAGTCTATTGGTCAGGAGAAGTACTGTTCGTGTATTACAGGTATAAATGGACTAAACATACCGTAGTATTGATCTATTGATGCATACATTGCTTCATAACTGTATGATAACTGTATGGCAGTTGGCATTAGTGCTCATTTTGATGGCAACTGTTGTCATAAACGTCTTATTCATTGCGGACACAATCAAAAGACTTAACAATGAATCCATGTTTGACTGTAAGATATGTTTGCATTAGATTTGATTCAATACTAATGCACCGTATATTGCATTGCAGTGCAAGACAGGCTCAGACAAGCCAATGGTGTGGCTATGAGGGGTTCGGGCGGTACGGGAGGTGCGGGAGTGATAAAACTGGAAGTGGTGTCGAGTCAGTCGCGAGTGAGTGTGACCATCGATGGCGCGACTGTAAGACCTAAACATCTACAGGATATGCAGTATATATAGTATACATGGATTTAATTGACGTATGGGTGCATAGATTGTGGACGACTCGGATGAGGGCAAAGGTCGGGGCATTCATGTGCTGGTATTGCATCAGTCGACCGGTTCAGTGATGGCTCAGCGCCTGTTCGACACGTATTCGCCACACGAAGACGAAGCCATGTCTTTGTTCCTATCGATGGTAACGGACGGAAGGATTGTGATAATGGGTATGCACTAAATTCTGATCCCATGTAATCTTCTTTTGCCCATCAATTTGTTTGTCCTCTTCTTTTGCCTTTTCTTTGTGTGTATTTTTCACATCTAATTGTATCTTCTCGTCTGTCACTTGTTTTTGAATTTCCTTTGCAAGTTCGTTGTGACCACTCTTTTGAACCGATGGCTCAAACGATTGAGTCTTCTTTAACTCTTCAATCGTTTTCTCTGATACTTTTGGTTCCTCTTTGTGGGTATTTCTTTGGATCAAATTTTGGTCGATTGGAGTACTTTTTAATTCACTAGTTGCCTGATCATCTCTGGCGACAGATTCTGAATGGCTTTGAGGTATGGATTGTTCATGTTTAATGGCAATCAAGTCGATTTTGTTTTGTTTTGGATCAGATTTCTTGCTTTCAGATACAGAATGTTCGTCCACTGCCTCCACCGCCTCCACTGCCAACACTTTATGTGCTCCCAATTTAGGTGCCTGTTGTTGACTGGGACTCGAGTTTTCCGACACAATCACCGCATCCTCTCC